CAATTTATATTAAAAAAAAAAAAAAAAAAAAAAAAAAAAAAGAGAAACATATTTTAAAGCGGTTTAATGAACTGTCACGGCGGGCAAAGCACGGGCAGATTTTCCCGTGTCTGGAGTTGCATACTACACCTTTGACTCCCACCTCGGCAATCATTATTGCTGCTGGGACCGATCCTGCTAACATTTGCTTGGCATCAGTGGAAATACTCGACGTAGTAAAATTGCTCAGGTGCGTCTTCAGCGGTTTGGCCCCCGCCAGCTGATGATTCCCAGCCCAGCGAGCAACACAGAAGAGTGGGATTTCAAGAGCAGCCGTGTGAGTTAGAAACTCGGCTCCTCTCCGGAGTCAGTGGGATTTATGCTGCCCGGTCACGTAGGCGGCGCTGAACCCCCCGGCCGCGGAGGCAACCAGGATCTCCTGCAGCCGCCTCCGACGTGCATCGACCGGCGGCCACGGCACGGGCAGGTCTGTCCCTGCCTCGGAAGCTGAGGTCCCCGCAGGGCGGCGAGGCCGAGGGCGGTTCAGACGCCTGCCTTGTGCGAGGCCTGATGTGAAGTCACGCCGGATTTGTGGTCACGCTGGGGACCGAGGGACTCCCTCGCCAGTCCGGTCTCACTCGGCTTTTAAAAACTCGGTCTCTTAAAGCGCATCGATGAAAATACCTGTCAGTGGAGCACCTGCGGGAGGTAGCTGCTGCTGCTGGGAAGGGCTGCGCTCTCCGCTGCTACAGGAGAAGCAGCGCGGACACTATTTCATGCGCTGCTACTTGCTGGGTGTCTCCTACACCGACCTTATTTTTCACATAGGATACAGATGAAAGGTTTGCTACAGTCATGCGCTTCCCCCCGGGCGTGGAAGAAGCCCTCGAGGGCAGGCTGCCGCGCTTCCCTGTAGCCCGGGACACGGGTCGGCGCTGGGGAGCGTCCCCCACCCTCCCGGGGAGGAGCTCAGGCAACAAGAGGGTCCGGCGGCCCCAAAGCGGGGGGCTGCCCCTGCCCCGCCGGCGCACTCCATC